CCCCCCCTTTGCTATAGGAGCATGGAGAATAAACACATCAAACACACTCAGTTGCAAACAATTTTATTATTGCAAATTATGATGCATCATAAGAAGCCATTATTTTTTCCTCTGCACACAAAAGCACACGGTGCTCCAGGTTCTCACAGAGCAGCTCAATCCACCTCCAGCAGGGCAGGAAGAGACACAGGGGATCAGAAGTGATTATGAAAAGTGCTTTTACACACTTCTAATTGCAGCTCCACTGCAAACTATGTCAAGACAAGCCTCTGGGATCCCATACATAATAACTGCACTGCCTTCACTGAACACGTCAGGGTGCCAAAGAACAGAGACATGAAAAGTTGAATCCAGAGAACCCAGCTGGTGGTATTAGTCTGTAAGATTAGACAGCTTAACTAGCAGATTTGTGACTGATGTCATTCAAATAAAAGAAAAAGAAGCCACGTTCAGTCAGTGTGCTGCTGCAAAACATAAATTATCAGAGTCACAGGCGACTGGTGCTCGGCGTCAGAGAGGCATGGCTTAAAAAACAGAACAGAAGCAAACATCGAGCTTGAATAATCTTCCATTTAAAAGCCTTTTCAACAATGCAAATCATATTTATTGACAAAAAGGCGCTTCATTTTTCTTTATTTGCTTGTTTAAGCATGCCTAATGGCATAATCTGTCCAAGCAGCACGCATCCTTTAAATCTGTCCATCTGTTCGCGCGCGCGCGCACACACACACACACACACACACACACACACACACACACACACACACACACACACACACACAGTGTAATTTACCAGGATTCAATATAATTTTCTTCCTAACAAAATTCTCCATATAGCCTACATTTGTTTGACATTATCTGACATGTAGACGGTTGACTGTATAAAACGAGTTACATCCATAGAAAAGTGAAGCGTATTTATTTACACGAGTAAGTGCATCTTTAATTACATCCCCTCATTTGCTCGATCTAATTTTGCAGTTTAGGTTTCAAGAAGATACTGCATGTTATAAAATCTCCAGAAATAACAACAGGTTGAGCTTATAAGAAAGAAATATGCAAATAGACAGTTTCTCGTTAGCTTATAAGAAGAAATATGCAAATAAAAAGTTTCTCTTGTTATCTGAACTACCAATATACAAAATGAAAACAACATCAAGGGTCGATTTGTACATTCAAGCATCCAAAAATACAAATATATGTCATGTACATTTATACAGATGAACAGCTGGTACCCAGATTGTTACGCTGCTATGTACTCCTTGAACGTAACGGTGAGGCAGTTTGTGGTAATGTCCGTGATGACTATATTCCCAAGGAAAGGTTTGAAGGAGGGAAATGTGTCCTCCTTTTTCTGTTCGTGGTTAGAAACGGACAGCGACTCGGCGTTCTCCACTTCTGCAGGTTGTTGTGTTTCAAGCTGAGTTTCTGTTTGTGTGTCAGCCTCTGTTTGTCTTTCCTCCTCTGTGTGTGTTAGCGCCTCGGGCTGTGTGTGCGTTTCAGGCTGGGCTGCTGTGGGAACTGGAGCTTTAGGCCTCGACTTGACAATACTCAAGTCAATGGGCTCCACTTGGTCCACATACCCACAATCCTGCAGCCCGGGGTGACTGTGGTGTCCATTTTGGTCGATGTTGATGATTTGGACAGGTGATGATGCTGTGTTGGGAGCGCTTATGCTCCTGGAGCTCAAAAACCTTTTACTACCCTCACGTTCCTCACCATCTGTGTCAGAGAGGTGTCGCTTTAGCCCTTGAAACCCACCTTGGCCTTCTCTTTTGTCCTGTGATGAGGGGACTCCCCTGTTCAAAGGCCGGGAGAGCAGATTAGGTTTGGTTGTCAATTGCAAAGGCTGATCCTCTGGAAGCTGGCCCTGACCCCTGACCTCAACATGTTTATCCTGTTCTGTCACAGTTAGCTCCGCTTTCAGGGACGGTTCCTTTTCTTTGGGGCAATTTCCATTAAATCCAGAACTGAGAGTTGTTGCTTTGTCTACGGGGCTTTTAGCAAATCCATTGATGAGGCCGAGCTTTTTGACGAGCTTCATCTTTTCCAGGTGCTTTTCCGCACCGTTGTCGGTGCCTTGCGGTGGCTTTTCAGCAGCATCACACTCGCCGTTTTTCACTTTAGCTGCTTGCATCCCATTTTCCATGTACTTGCTCATGACAATAACAATCCGGCCATTCTTGTTTTTGTTCTTCACAATCTTTAGTTTGCTGCTGCTGACACCGTTGGGCTGTGGTAAAGCGTCCTCCTTAGGTTTTGGCTTCTCTTGCTCTTTGTGTCCGTTGAAGTTTGCCGGAAGCTTCTTCAGCTCCATGGTGATATCCTTCACTTTGGTCAGACAGCCCGAGTCCTTGTCCCGAACCCACTTTTGCTGCAGCACCGGAGGAAGGTTATATTCTTTGTTAGCCAGCTCAGGAGCTTGGACGTCTATCTTGGGTTTAGCAAATATGGGCTCGTGCACCTTGATGTCTGGCTGGTAGTGATGATGCTTCTTGCTGTTAAGCTGATAGTAAAACTTCTTGCCGTTAGCCTGCTGCTCAGCCTCACGCTCCCTGCACAGCGGCTGGTACTGGTGGTGCTTCTTACTGTTCAGCTGGTAATGCTGGGGCTGCGGACGAAGCATCTGGATGGGACTGGCGTTCTGACAGCTGTCCTCATCCAGGGACGCCTCTTGTAGGTCAGCCAGGATACTGGACCTCCTGGCAAAGGAAGGCACCTGCGAGCAAACACAGTAATCAGCATTATTAAAAACGCCCAAGCCCCATCGATAAAGAATCAAATGATCTGTGTTGTTTTAATGAGCATTTAAAATAAAGAGCATCCCTTTGAGCTGGGAATTTGATTAATGATTAAGAGTCTCCAGTTTCTATACACGTGTCTTTCCTTGGGTACAAAAAAAAAGGCTTTCATGGGGCCCACGAGCTGCAATGAAGACACTGTGCTTGGAATGTGTGACGGGGCTCCAAACGAGCACAAGGTTTATTTCAGAGGCCTTGAGTCCATGTTGACACAGCCCTCCTACAGATCCCTTGCAGCTCTCTGAGCCACCAGCCCGGCCATCACAGTGACATTTCAAAGTGTCTCCCGTGGCTGTGACCTCAGCTTGGAGGAATGTCATTGGCTGCTTTGTGTCCCGGCATTGACTTTATCCCATGTGTTACCACCAACACCCTCCTGAGAGGAACAAAAACATGCCTCCGAGGGGATCCCTTAGCCCTTTGGGCCAGTGATTGATGCATTAAATGTACAATCGCAGTCACCTAACTGCAACTGTTAGGTCAGGAGACAGATTCCTATAGAATTTAATGAAGATAACGTCCCTCGCTCATTCAAATTTTCACTCCGTAAGTGAGCCAACACCTAAATTTTTACAAATGAAGCTTTGTTATCTCATCATACAGGTAAAACAAAACCCTGTGGAGTAAACCATGATGGGTCATCTCAGTTTAAAATAGGGAATACTGATATATCAGCCAAATATCTGTAACAACTTGACTGATACCCAAATACATTTACAGATGTCTGTGGCCAATATTAATCTGCTGTGTCCCACGAGTTTCACGTTAAAAAAATAATGTGAAGTGGCTTACAGACATTAAATTATGCATATTATACAAAGATGCTTTTATTCATGTATAAATAACAACAAGAACAAAAACAAAATAGAAAAACATATTAACCACATATTTATTTGGAACATCTTCATCTAGCATGGCTTTCATAATCACAACTTGAAAGCCAAAAAATTTGAGTGTGAAGCCCAAACGTTTAACAGGCGGGGTCTAACAAAAGGAGCTTTGAGTTGCATTTTGGGGAATGTAGGCTTTAATGGTACCAAAAGCTTTAGCCATGTTAGAGACGAAAACGTTATTTTTTTTTTTTTAGTATCACAACTTTCATGACATGTTTCATCATTTTCACATGATGAAACGTGACATATTTCACATGTTCTTTAATATTTTCTGAAATTTCCCGACCTTAGAGAGAGAGGTACAAATAAAAATGAAACTTAAGCATCATTCATCATTACTGATAATCAAGATTAGCATTTAGAATCATGTTTTGAAGTATATTTCAGTGTGTGAATGCGCTGTGTGTAAACAATGCTATTTGAGCTGCTGCCTTTCTGGTGTTCTGGTTAATAAAAAACAGAAAAACTGAAGTCCTGTTTCCTTGTTATATATTTTTTTTCTTACCTGGACCAGAAGATGTTTTGGCTTGGGTCCTCTCTTGCGATACCCCATCATCTGCTCTTGACGTTCCCTGCGGGAGAGGAATAGACCAGCCAATCAGTGAACCATGACACAGAGATGAGTTGCAGTTGCATGGCAACACGACGTCATGGGTGTCCTCCTCATGCTCTATTAGAAAACGCTGAGCATGTGTTACACTTCCTGATGTAAGGTGAGCATACATTGTTATTTGCTCATCATATATTTACCTGTCCTCGCCTTTGTTTAAACAGGATCAAATGTACATTTATCCTCAGCTGCTGCAAAAGCTAAACAGTCAGTTTATACTAACACTCATAATCCAGTAAACAAACTCTATCCACGGAGGAAGATAAGGGCCAACCCCTCTCTGACTTTCCTCAGTCTCCATCCAAGTCCCTCCAAGACAGTAATTCAATACCGCAGACAGGAGTGATGTCAGATTCCTCCCCCACCCTCCCCCCCTCACATCTAATTACAATGACGACTCAGTGTATTTTCATAGCCTGGCATTCAGACGATTTGGCTCCCCCGAGAGGCACGCAATTAGTTTCAATAAAATCCCTCCTCTTTGGAGCAAGCGAGAGATAATTGCGAAAACAGCCGTAGAGTGAAGTCGATGTTTTGCTTTAACGTGTGACCTGCGCCTGAAAGGTTGCTGTAGGCAAAAGCTGAAGGAGACTGAGAGAGAAGCCAGTGACAGTTTAACACAGCATGCATTTAGGAAATTCAATTACACTGCCCTTCACACGGAGCAGCCTGGTCAGCCACTCAGGAGAGTATTTAGTATTTAGCCAAACAGCTAAAGTCACCAAGGTAGCCAACGCTAAAGGGTAATATTTGAATTTTTCTGATATATACGTTTACTAAGATACTATGTAGTTCCTTCAATCTTGCTTTGCTTTTGCACCGTCATCACATCATGAGCCGATTACTTAAAGATGTGAACCATAATGTAAACTTCCCCTCGACTCCAAAATACACTTTGCTTCATGTTCCTTCAGACAGATATTTAAACTCTACCATGCACGATGATGTAATGTGCAGAATGCGACGAACATTATTTTCACATTTGTCTGCTGAGGCTTTTATGTGCCATCAGAAAGTCTGACTTTAACATGTGTGCAGGCCAGCTGGATTTATAGCACTAGAAACTGTATAAATGCAAATCCATAAGCAATTTAAACAATGTGAAAGATGCAGATACTTTAAATAAGCAGTACACCTATACAACTAAAGAAGTATAAAGTGACATCATAACTCTGTCTCGTAGATGTGGACTGATCCTAGTACTAGACTTCATTGATTTTTAATGGAGATCTTTTAGTTGAATACTAAGTGTTATTCATCTCTGAAAGCTGGTGATATGTGTCTCGTGTCCTCTGTATTTGTGTTTTTAAAAGTGGTGCACATCAGAAAATCCAGGGGAAAAAAGTCTAACCTACAGAAAAGTAAAGGGATCAAACAACCTTTGAACAATCATCATTCACTTATACAGTCATGCTGTGGAAAATGACACTGGTCATCTGGTGAGTGGATGGCAGGACAGCAGGTAGCACTTTAGCAGGATAACATGATGCCGACACTCAAATAACTATCAGGTAACAAAAAGTAGATGCGCAACAAAGTGGTTCAGTTTGATCTGATAACCCTAACCTGAGCTTAACCCTGATCCAACTCTGATGACACAGGGTTTAATCTAAAGACAAACATTAAGGCTTTTCTGTTAACCAAACTCTCTACACTTCTAAAACTTACAGGCGAACCTGCTTTACTCTCTGGGGATGGGTGACAGATATTTTATGTGCTGTGACAAAAACTGGAAATGTAAGATACAGTGGATTAAAACCTGTTCTATCATGTTTTTCAGCAGCTTGTGCACCGGTGAAGCTTCTTTATCAAACTAAAAACGTACCTGTCTTGAAACGCATCAAGTAGTCTTGGGTCCAGGATGTTCTCCTCTGGTTCCCATGTGTTGTATCTGTCCACAGAGGAGAGACAGAGAGCAGTGAGTGCACGCTGGCCAGTCAAAAACGGCTCACCATAACAGGCACTGGCTGAAGATACCCAGGTGACAGGACCTAATTCAATCTATTACTTATAAAATCTCCCTAGAGTCATAATTGTGGGCGTGCATGTAAACAACATGCTGAGACGCTTGTCCTCCCTGTGGACACACGTGTAATAAATCATGGGTAACTTTTACGCACGGTAATAGGGGGAGGAAACAACGGTCCGGCCTCCACACAAATCTCGATACGTGGCATTTCTTAAACATAGTGTTCAATTATAGACATGTCTTCCTCTAATTGGCACACTGGGGATTGCATACATTGGAAAACCACATCCATCATCGGGGCCAATAAACGCGCCGAGCGCCCAGAGCAAGAACGCGCAACCCCCCGTACGCGCGCCCACGCACAGAAAAATGCAGGCATTTACACTTGCGCACACTTTCTGTTTTGGATGTGGCGTCCTCGTTGAGTGTATTTCTGTTATCAAGTGCACTCACCTTGGAGACCATCCACGCCACTTGACCAAATACTCAACCCGTCCCTGTGAAGGAGGAGAAACGGGATAATGAGCGTAACGTTACTTTACTCCGCGCTGCACAGTCATCTTAAAATATCGAATAACAAGAATAGTAATAATAAAACAACATATGCTCCGCTGAAAGCAGAAGTGAAAAAGAAAAATCAGCCTCCTTTCCAAGTGCATGTGTGCAAAAATGTCCTTCGGTGCTCTTGTGACAAACCTTTCTGCTGCGCTTCTTCTCGATGCTCTCCACCGCAAAGACGTGCTCTCCCGCGGCGGGTAGCTCCATTTTCCGATACAAGAGAAGCCGCTCTTCTGCTTTCCCCCCCCTCTCTGCTTTTGTTATCGGACACCTTATCCTTGCTTTCAGCCCGTTTTTCCTCGCTGCTCCTCTGATGTGAAACACAAGACTCCCCCCTCCTCCTATTTTCACTGCACCGCTTCCCTCGCTTTCCCCCTCAGAGGACCTCGCTCTGCAGCCGAGCTCGAGCTGCAGCCAGAAAACACTTCATGCAAATAGCCGTTGGTGTGACGTTACATGAGGGGGAGGTTATTGGGGGCGGGGGTTGTTCCCGTGCTGCATTCGGAGACTGTCGTAAAAAGTGTAATCACGACTTCAACGGCGCGTAAACAACATGAAAAAAGCTGTAAGTGGCTGATGTAGAGGATGTCTTTGAGAAATTTGGCGAGGGATGAAAACCAAGGCAAAAACTGGTAGCTGAAATTTTGTTGTGGGCTAGTTTATTGTGCCAGGATATTAACACCAACCAGACATGAATGGCGTTTACTTTTTTCCTGTAGAAAAACAAAAATATGACACTAATTTTGCCTACATGACAGTGTCTAAGCTTGTACCCCTCCGGCCTGTTGGTAGGAAGTTCTAATATCATTAAGTCCTCCATGTCTGACTGTGGGGAGATGCCAGTGTGTGAAATCACCTGCTCTTCTGTTTGTTTGGGCGGAAAATCACCTTGACAGATAATAATAAACTTTCTACCTAAAGCAAGGGTGTTCAATATGTGGCTCTGGGGAACAGATACGGTACAAACTACCATATAGGATGGCTTTACATCCAAGTGAGAGAAATACAGTGATGTCTTTACCATCTTTGATTTGCTTTCTAAATAAAAAAAACCAAACATTTATATAATTACAACGTTTTTTTTCTTATATTTTGATAAACTGCTGGAAACACGAATAGTGAAATGCTGTGATTATGTGATTATTTAAATACATATATAACTTTATGTATGAAGGTTTCGCGTTCTTGCAGAACCTTTGTGATACACCTGTCAGAAGACGCATTGTTGACATTCCACTTATCTTTAAAATGTAGCCTGATTATTATCTGTTTGTGAGCAATAGTCTCCTTATACTGAAACAAAAGTGGATTATTATCCCACCCTTTTATTGGCCCACGTGAGATCAAATTAGACTGTTTGTGACTAAAGAACTAACGTGAGGGTGACACGCCTATCAGAAAAACAAGTGCACTACACAACGTGACTGGGGTAGTAAAGGTTACGAGCCAAAACAAGAGCCTGAACGCCTCACCTCCCTCCGTTGTCGCTGAACGCGAAGCCAGATCTAACTGGAAGAGACTGCTATGAATGGTGAGTGTTTTATCCTGAAACGTGATGGCCCGAATGTGCTGCTCACCAGCCTGAATTCAGCATCTGAGCAAGGCCTTGCAATTAATGTTGTATTTGCAGTCACAGCACATCAACAGTCCGAGTTTATACGAGATATTTTTTCTTATCTTTGCGCCTTCGCACTTAATAGCACCTAAAGCGCTATCCTAAATATGTTTTATGAGGGCCACACGATGACGTGGTTAACCTAAGATTGTATGCCTCAAAATGGAAACCATCCACCTGAAAATACACAACAGGCCCAACCAAAGTCAAGGCCAGAGCCCGTCTGACATTGATTTATCACCGCCACCATAACAAGGCCTTCTCTATTACGGCAAATGCCAGTGAAACGGGAAAAACACATTCCCATCCGAAGCCCTGTAGTGTGGATAATGCGGCATGAATCGTGACCCTGTGTAAAGTTAAATTGCGAACAGAGCCCCTACGCTGCAATGCGCATTACAATGAATAGATTTCCATATCTTCCCTGAGTCAAGGTCACACAAAGAGATGACATTTCGCATGGCAGCGTGTCGCGGGGATTTTCTGGTGGATTTTCGCGTTGTTAGAAGATAGCTCCTGGTTGAGTGGCAGCCGATGTAGGTCATCCTCTTACTCTAGCCCTCAGTTTTAACTCCGGAGGGGTTATTTCTGACTGAGCCCCGACAAGACAGGCACCAGCCGGTTCCATTATTGGCACGGACAGCCTGTGGACAGCCTGAACCAGCTCGGGCCTGAAGCTGAGGGGGCACACGGACCTGCAGCACCAAAGCCGACGGTTTGTGCTAGAAATGGTTGCGCTTATTTACACCTGAGGGAAGGTTGAGGATTTTGATATAATTAGACGGACACAGAGGGAGGTTACAAATAACATGTGCTGTTCTTTCCCGCTGTTGGCACACGCAGCTCTCTGTTCACTGTTATTCTTTACATTTAATCCGAATCTGAGGGAGGAAGTCATTTCATAAACATCTATTCGAAAACAAAAGCGTAAAAATGTCACTGCAGCCCCGGCCGCATTGTTTCAGACGGCAGGACTAAATAAAATTCAGCAGCGAAAGGGTTAAAGTGTAGAGTTCCCGCAGGCTGCTGCGCTGGGCCTATTGCAGGCAGGCATGGCGGTCTTTCCTTATAAGGCAATGGGCGCAAATCGGCAGTGAAATATCGCCTGAAACGAACGAACGCAGCGCACTCGCACTTCTCTGTTTTCCCCCAAAAAAGCTTTTCATATGTACAAAACATTCAATACTCATCAAGTCGGCCCCTCTGTGCTGGGCTGCACAGCAGCTTCGGCGCGCGCACACGTACAGCGCCGCTCGTGCGGTCTGCTAATTCATCTGCGTCACTCCTGAATTAAGGATGAGCAGAAGAGCCGAGGTCGCAAATTAGAATCTGGGGGTGAAGGTGAAGGTGCCAGTGCCATAACGTGCTCGCCAGAGAGCTTCTACCAAGCGTCCGCGCGGCCGTGCACGTGTCACCTGTCTGCACTTCAAACCTGATGATGTCAAAACCTGCTGAAGATCAAATATCGTATCTAGGTATCATATTTGTCTTCGAGCAAAAAAGGCTGCTGGCGCCAAGTGTTGATATACTACATATTTTTTTCTTTTCGTTTTTTTTTGTCTCGTGTTTTGGGAACATGGGCACGTGCTCCAGGGGTGGGTGTAATGTGATGGCGCACGTGCGTGTTGGTTATTAACGGTATCTCGGAAACTTTACCTGAGCAGCACCGCGCGGCTGCATTTGCGCTTTTAAAATTCGCCAACGGCAGGAACGAAAACCAGCGCAGTCGTCGGCAGTTTAGCGCAAATAAGCCCGTTTCTCTCCAGCTGCACGAGCGCAGTTTATTTAATATTTCGGCGTTAATTCCTCCCACAGCCCGGGCTCCGTTTTATTTTAAAACTACCTGAGAAAAAAAAAGTGACGCAGAGAGAGAACAAACTGGTCTCGCGTGATTGGATTCGCTTTTGTCTCGATCTCCTTCTAAATTCATCCTCATGCCAACTTTCTGTTTAAAAAAAAATCTAATAAATGCATCAGGATGCTGCAGGGATATGTTGGAAGTTTCTGCCACATTCCCATTTAAAAAAAAGAAAGAAAAGAAAGAAAAACGTTTCTGTCTTCCTTCGTATGTGTGTGGACAGGAAAGTCCTTTAGATGGAAAAGCCCGACGTGCATGTGCCAGTCAGATCTATGAAATCAGTGCTTGTGAGAGGACAGGATGAAGGGAGCGCACTAACAGGAGAAATCCACAGGAAATTACAGAGAAATTAGCTCATTTTGAAGTTTAGTTTTGAAAGGAGAACGTTTAAACCCACTCCTCCCCAACCCTTCACTCTTCTCCACCTGTAATGAGCTGCTTGTTCAGTCTTAATAGATGCAAACTTTAAGTAAATCTGCTTGTTTTTATGAGTTAGAAGGAGTACTTCCCCTCTGCTAAAAACTAAAGCGCATGATTGCAAGTCTTTGTGTCACACGGTGGAGGGGGGTTGAAGTAAAATAATGACTGGATTCATTAGTGACAGGGTGAGTGGAGGGGAAGAAGTGACATTACTGTTACAAGAAGTGAAAAACAAAGAAAAAAAAAGAGAAAATTCTTCCTCATGCATCACATAAGTGTTTTACATGCATGATTTATATGAAACCAATGTAAGTTTGAAGTATTCAGCAGGTGAATCGGCAGGTGGACACGAAAGCTCATATTCATTTACAAAAATCCTCCAATCCCCAGCATTTGATGACGCTCTTTCTCTGAGTGGGAACATCTGATTAAGATGACATTTCCACGTAGGAAGACATGACGCTCTGCCTGCATCACAGCGCAGTGCTGCAGATCCAATAACAGCAGAGGAAAAACAGGAGATGGAGGGATGAGGTGACGTCAAAGTCCAGAAGAAAAGATTTGATTAACGGCAGTGAAAGGAAAGCTGAGATCCAGATGTGTAGTTTCAAATCGACTACTGTTTGTTTGACTTCTGAAGAAAGAACTTGGAGGGGAGATTCAGGTTTTCTGGAGTTTCCATAAATAAGTCGTCTGACCTTAACCTCAGAGGCATTTAGTAATCTTAAATCAAAATATTTTCTGGTGAAAGGTCAGCCAACCACCACGGCTGACATCCTTTAAGTACATATTAAGCACATAAAGAAAAGTGCTGCCTTGGAACTAAAAGCTTTACAATTATTTAATCAATTGAAAGCTTTCTTTAATGTAAGAGAAAAGCAGCAGACGTCAGACTCTCTGCTGAGACTGGCTATAGAAAAAGAAAGGATGATAGACTTCATTCACCAAATGATTCCAGACTTTTGAATTATGCAGATTTTCACAAAGTTTAAAAATACTTCTGTTTTTTAAACTGTTACCTGAAACCAAACCGTTTAAACCAACACACGTTGAGTATAATGAAATCTGCATTATTGGTACAATCTGCTGCAGTTTTGTTGTTGCCCACAGCCAAACAGCCCAGAGTGTCATCTCTCTATTTCACTGCGCATTTCCTTTTCAGCTGGGATTCACCGCAGCTTCTTTTTTCTCACCACACAGATCAAATGAGTGAGTCAGCGCTGCACTACAGACAGGTTTTAATGCCATTGTCAGCCTGCGCTCGTGACATGTTCTACCGTCTTTGGTAGGCAGCGACGGCTGGTGGGAGTGAGACAAAGAAAGCATGATTCATAATGTTTTAACGTGAATGGACACACTGATGGTTCTATCCCTAATAAATATAGCGCGCACAATATGTTAACAAAGATTTCTTCAAGGAGACTTTCACATTTGGTTTGATGTATAACTTTGTAAATATGGCACATTAACTTTGTAGTATTTTAAATCACTCGACACGTGTCTGACAGTTTTAATTCATTAAGCGACTCAGGTGTTTGATGTTTGAGTCTGAAGTAATTAATTAATATATTTTACTGCTTTGGATTT